CGAATGCCGACAACTGTCTTGACAACTGATAGAAAACATAGCAAAAACTAAAGCTTGACACAAAAAACATCATATATATAATAAAATATAACTAGGACTAGTAAGGCAGCCCTAGCCCAACTAATTGGGCCAGTCGACCGTCTTGCCTCCATCCTTGAACAATTCCGGTAGAGCCCCGCGCACCTTAAGATGGAACTAGGCTTAGGCTGGCTCTATACCAAATGATACAAAAGGAGGGTTGGAGAAGATTCAACAAGAACAACCAACTGATCATTCTAAGACAAAAAAATAATAGAACAAAGATGAAATTGAATAATCAAATAAAATACGTAAGATACAAAACTTTCCTACTCTCATAACCGACCGGGATGCAAAAATTATCACCTGAAGAATTGATGAATGAAAAACCCGGGATGTCACCACCAATAAAGGAGAGATACACTTGCCACAACTAGACACCGTGGATGTAAATTCGTCCTCATCCAGGAATCATAAAGAGAGCACAACCCTTCACAAAACTCAAATGAATAAACCCCTAACACAATAAACGACCATTTATTTATAATCAATAAGAAACTAAACCTTATAAAAACAAACAAATAAAAAGGCCCTTCTTGCTATTAGGAGCGGGCAACAATCTTTAGCCATAGAGAAAGGGTAGACCCTCCCCCACTTGGACTGAGCCGATCTAGGATTCCCTCGCCCCGCGCAAGAAATTGATTTCAAGATCTGAACATACATTCATTGGAATCGAAGTAGGGGATGATTCAAGCATTTGTGGAAAGATCCTGACTCAAACTAAACAAGTGTGGAACACCATTGATTGAGAGGGTTGTATAAGCATGACTAATTATTGAATGGAGGTCATCTTGCTTCATCTTGATCATCACATACATGTCATGTGAGGAAGGTGGTTCACCATGCAAATATAATATGAAAATACAACCTTCATTCTTTCCATATGATCTTGATGCAATTAATTACCAAGTCCGAATTAGATATTCGATTGCCATGTTTTATCAATTATAAATACATAACAACTGCAAGTATTTGTCCCACCTCCATAAGTTCAAAATTTTGATCATTGTTCTATGTTAATCTATAAGCATTTTCTCACCACTAAATGTTTTTCTAGACTGAAAATTTGAATGATATAATCTATTTAATTAGTCTACTGTGCGTGATCAAAATTATGTTAAATATGCAGAGTTTATATTGGTTGGTGCCGACAACAGACTTTAGCTAGAGTCTAACAAAATATAGATAATTTTACAAAACAAACTAGTAAAGTTTGGGTCAATATGAAAGCTAGTTTAAGAGATAAATGCCAACTTATTATAAACCTAGAAAAGTTGAATAACTGATAGATCAGAAACAAGAAGACTGAACTATTAATAAAAGCAAAACTCAACTTGGAAAATTATATTTTACATAAAATTTGCAAGAAGAATTACTGGATAATAGCTTCTAGGCTTGTAATTTGTTTTTCACCATAATATTATAAATGGAAATATTGAAGAAGCTCATTAGACTTATAAATGGAAAGGAGGCTCTTTATTCTAAAGAAAAAAATTCAATATGGCTAGAAAGACTTGAGACAGATCAATAACGTGTCCCACAAACTCAGCCTACACTCATATCCTCTGAAATTTATAATAAAAAGAATCAATTTATTGGTAATGCAAACTACTAAATCTACATATTATAGGGTTCAAGGGAAAGGTTACAGGTGTCAAAGAGAACGACATATAATCTCTCTATGTTCTCAAATAATTAAGGTTTTCGTTCATGAATCTGATGGACTTCTAAATCTTAATGATGAAAATATTGAAGTATGTGAAGACAATGAACCCCTTTCCGATGATATTTTTTTACATAACAACCTAAGATGCTAAGTTTATCATATATTCATATTGATAACTCTAAATTTGAAGTGAAAATCAATAAAAAAACATGAAGCAATTTATACAGATAAACTCCAACCCTTTCACTGGCTGACCTATTCATGAATTAGCTATTAAAACGATTTCAATATTTGCATTATCCGTTCAGGTATTATATGATGTTAATGCATGGTTTGTTGAGCACATGGACATTTTATATACTAATTTTCAAACGAATTTTATTGAACAAAATGAAAGACAAGGTTACCATAGAAGTTCAATCAAGTTTCAGGAAACCTTTGTTGGAATTTCTGTAATAGCCGGAGGATTACATACACTCAAGAAAAAAATAAAAATTCAGTAAATATGATGCAGGAAGATTGAGAAGTCTGAAAAAGTAAGTAGCAATAAATTTAAAGAGAATAAACTAGCTCAACAAATAATTATGATTATCAACATCAAGCTCTAGTGAGCATCAATAAAGTACATGACAAACATAATTAAACAACAAATAACTCAGAAAGTAAAATAAAACTAACTTCAATATGTAGAGAAAGCTTGTCGATTTGTTCGCTGTATTGAGGTAATGCTTGAACCAATTTTTGCAAATCTCTAGTTGAAAGTTCACCACCATCTCTGAATAAAACAAATACATGTAGTAATAAATATAAATCCTCGTAGAATTAAAGAGAAATGATTCCAACTACAATGGCAAGCACAAATTGAAATAAGAAAATTTCTAGAGTGTTAAGTACACATGCAAGGAGTTTAAACCAAATCTGCCAAATATGGCAGTACTGAAAGATCATCTTGCAAATTATTGCATTCAAATGATAAAAGTTTCAATTTAGTTACCACCCAAATGAATAAAAACAACTTCTGCTTCGAGCTTGAACTATGCTAAGATTTCAGCACGAGCAAGATTGGGACCTAAAGTTTAGCAAGAAAAAGAATTGTCTACTTCGTGTATTAATAATTCAAAATTGATCCTCTCAAGAAAATAAAAAGCTGTTAACCCCTTGAAATGGTTAACAATCATGATATGATCTTCTAGACATGAATTAACTTATCATGTCGATATTGTCAGAAGATAGAAAGCATCTCCACTATTGCTCTTTCTACAATATCATTGGGCAGAATGACTTTGAATGTTTCAAGGCTCATTTAGAGCTATGAAATCAACATCAGGTTTATATTGTTATTAGGGATGCTCTTTTATTTTATCTTTATTTTTAGCTTTTATTCTTTTATTTTACTTTTTTAGTTAAATAGGGGTATTTTTGTAATTAGGGTCTACTGTTTCCTATAAATACCCAAGCATTACATGAGTTAGGAGTTTTCTAGGGAGTTATTGTCTCAGGTTTGTCTTGTTAGTGGGAAGGATTTCACAACACCTGGGTGGATTTCCCCTACTATAGGAGAAGAAACCATTAGTGGGGCTTAAGAAGTTGCCAAGTTTGGTTTGCCTAGAATATTAGTCTTCCCCTTGTGACTATTGGCATGTTCAACAATTTTTTTAAGGCCCAAATCAGAACTTTCTTGCCGCAGCTTCTTCATCCAACCAATGCTAGGAGCAAAATAGCTAGCAGATTGAGTTTCGGCCACCTTCCAGAGACTACAAAAGCAATCCCAATTCATGCCACAGAAATTAGCATGAAGGCTATGTGATCCCATATTTTTAATGAAGCATGAGAAGTGTATAACTCATGTTACTGAAATTTCATAACCAGTTTGGATCCAGAAAAAAACGAGTTTTCTTGGGTTCTAGCAGCCAACCTATCATTCAGATGAATTCCTGCTGCTTGTTCATTTCAGCGAATTACTGAAACTGTGCAATGGAAACATCCATTCTGGCCATCAAGAAATGCTCTAAACAGGTGGTCTATTTTCAGTTATAGTCATATCAATTATAATTCAGTAATTCCATTTGAATATTTTACCGCTTTGGAATCTTTGGTTTTTCTTGGTTGCAGCAAAGATCGAGTATTTTGGTCCTGTTCCACTCCCTGGACAAGAGTGTAAAGGAATAAGGAGGTTGAGGGTAAATCAAGGCAATACAATAAACCTGCTGATAGGGCTCAATTGGCTGACACTCTACCCTCTTCTTGAAGAGGGAATGCAGCCTCCATCAGGTTTTTTGTTCTCCAACTAAACTAGTTCAATTTTCAGTCTTGAATAAATATCTACGAAGCTGTACTTTCGGAATTGTGGCAGGTAAACTGGAAATACTTCCAGTCGTAATTCAGGCTCCACCGGCTCCACCAATATCTAGGTGGGCTCTCTTTTCTACCTGTTGGTCTGTCCAGAATTCATATGATGACATAAATGGTTGCAGCAAAGATCGAGCAAACCTGATGACAGCCAACCTGATGAGGGAATCACCACAAGATAGGAAATGGTATCTGCCCCTGGGAACCATTTTTCTGACCATACTATAAGGGATAATGTTCAGACTGAAAGTCAGGATAGCCCTATAGCTCCTATTCAGAAAACATCATATGCAGAGATGACAATTCACACTTCACATACACCGGAACACATCGATGTGGCAACAACTGTCTTTCCTTCTACTGTGGTTCTAATATCAAATCAAGCCGAGGATCACATGAGCCAGTCTTCGGACAAAAAATGACAGGTTTACACTTCTCGGCGGAAGAAGGCTGGGGGCACACTCCAACTTAGAAACTTAATGAATGATACTTTAGTTACTTCTGACGATGACACGACATTTCGAAGTTTGTTATCTGGCTCTGCTCCTAAAACTAGCAGAAGAGACAAGACTAAATTGGCTCGTCCATAGCTACTTGTTTTCTGCATGTTTTAAAATTTTTGAGTTTATCTGTATCTTTTTGTTTGGGGTAGTACTGTACTTGGTATCGTACGGGTAGGGTGCCTTTACTGGGCCCTCTCACACAACCTTTATGTACCTTTCCTATTTCAATAAAATCAACCCTTGGACTTTTAAATATATATATATAGATAGATACACATGTATGTATACATATGTACATATGTTTGTATACATATGTCTGTATGTATCTATATATATATATATACAATGACAATATGCTCTGCTAGGGTTTCGCCCGATGGCGAAATTTTGGTTTGATTCCTTACTCAACGACGAAGTTCCCGCACTCGACGACGAAGACGCAGTTTCCCGCACTCGACGACGACGACGACGACGGACTCAACCTTGCGATCGTCGTCTTCTCTTTCACGCCAAACGACGAAGGGCTTCGGCGTCTGCTTTCTGCTGTTTCATGACGCCTTCCAGCTATCTTTTCTGCGCGGATCGACCTGCGGTTGTCTGCCGAGTTGCGATCTGCGCATTTCATCTGCGGTTACTGTCTTCTGCGCAGCTTCGCCCCGAACTCTTCGACTCGTCTCTTTTGCCCTCTGCTCGACTTGCAGGGCTTCTCTTTTCTGTGATAGAGCTTCCTTCTTCGGTTGAAACTGACAAAACCTCCTTTGCCCACGTGGTGGGTAAACCTCAGAGGGAGACAACGGTTATCTTCCCTTCAAGTTATATCGAGCATCGTGATGGTACAGGTAGCTGTCCCTTTATTGAAAATGTAAGCAGAAAAAGTGGAAAGACAACACTCTTTTTCTCAACATTAGAAATTTCAACGCTGACTGACAAATTCAAATTTGCTCTTATTGAGAAATTTCAGTTGAGACACCCACCTATGAAAATTATCAGAAAAAGTTTTTATAACCTCAAATTAACAGATAAGTGAAAAGTGGAGCTCATGGATTGGAGACATGTATTGATTCAGTAAACCGTGCCTGACGACTACACTTGGATTTTCTCTAGAAAATATCTTAACATCGTTGGTAAACCTATGAAGCCACTCAAGTGGTCTCTTGATTTTAACCCAAATCATGAAACTCACACTATACCGGTATGGTTTAGTTTATCTGGTCTCAAACTGCATTTTTTTCACATTTTTTTCACCATCAGGTTTCACCATCAGGTTATCTACTCTATTGGGGCCATCCTTGGGATCCTTTAAAGCTAGATTTGACTACTTTCAACATAACCAGACCCTCGATGACCATAATATTTGTGGAAAAGAATATTACTTTACCTGATGTTACTGAAGTCTGGCTGGGCATAACCCATAATAGTTACTGGCAACAAATTATCATGGAGCATAGACCCCCATATTGTACCCACTCTAAGATGTTTGGTCATGTCCTTAATAAATGCCACAAGTTTCATCCAAATTTCAAATCTAAGGTTTAAGTGAATAAGGATGGGTCTAACCCCACTGCTCTGGACATTTTAGTTTCACCTGGGGAGGATACTACCAGATAGGAGGTGTCTGTTGCCCCTGAGGACCCCCCATGACACTGCTGCTACTGTTACTGCGAGTGATGCGATGTTGACACCAAACTCCACAGAAAACAATACTGATGGACCATTACCTATAAATGATAGTGTTCAGACTAATAATCAAGAGAGTCTCGCAGCTCTACTTCTTTAAGAAGTATCCGATGTAGAGGCAACTCATGTTTCACATATTCTAGAACCTATTGTGGGTACTACTGGTGGTATTCCTTCTGCTTCAGATCTACCCCATCAAACTGATTCTTCAGAGGAATGACAGGTTTACACTTCCAGGAGGAAGAAGAAGAATGGAGATCTATTAGAGCTCAGGAGTCTTATGGATGATACTTGATACTTTGGTTTGGTTACTACGGGTAATGGTCAACACCTTACAAATCTGCTAGCTGAATCACTACCGAGAACAAGAGCCAGAGAAAAGAATAGATTGGGATGACCCACACTTTTTCAGCGCCCGTGTGGCTTTTGGGTTTTTTGATTTCTATATGTACTCATCTTTTATATTTTTTGGTGTGTGTACTGTGTGGGTTGGGTGTTTAGGCCCACCCATACAAACCTATCTGTATTTTTATCTTTAATATATCAGCCCTTGGGCTTTATATATATATAACAGCGTCTCTTTCTCCTGTGCACGCTCTTCTAGAGGGTTAATATATTAAAAAGAAAATGTACAGATAGATTGGATGAGGGGGCCCAAATAATGACACCTTACACACCCGGTATACAACACAGTAAGGTCCCAAAAAAAAAAAAAAAAAAACATACCCAAAATCAAGATAAAAACAGATTAAAACGTAGATGTGTAATCTCTATGCCAAAAGTCCGCCAAACACACACAGAATCAGGTCAACGAACCAATTTAGCTTTATCTCTGCCTTTGTTTCTAGAAAGGGAGCCAACTAACAAATGGTTGTTTACTTCCATTACTCGAAGTAACCAAAGTATATATATATATATATATCTATATATATATAACGCTCAAGGGCTAATTTTATTGAAATTAAAAAGGTACATAAAGGTTGTATGAGAGGACCCAATAAAGGCGCCCTACCCATACGATACACAGACACTAACATCCTAAAAAGGATAAGACATAGATAAAACTCTAAAATTCAAAACTCACAGAAAATAAGTTGCTAGGGATGAGCCAGCTTGGTTCTGCCTTTGCCTCTAGTTCTAGAAGCAAAGACAACTAACAAATTGCTGAGTGTCGTGCCATTACCCGAAGTTACTAAAGTATCATCCAGTAAGTTCCCAAGCTGGGGTGTGTCTTCATTCTTCTTTT